GTACTTGCTATCACAGGGAAATATTTGGAAATAACAACAATCAAATATTCTACCAATTTCCCAATACAAGGAGAACATCAAATTATTGGCACAATGGAAATCTAAATAGTCTGCCTGCATAACAAGTATTTATAAAACTATTGTTACACATAAACATCAGATTTGCAAACAAAATGCATAATATCTTATGTGTGTATATTAAAGATCACAAAATAATTTGAAGTAGAACGGCTATAATTTAATTATCACTGAGTTATTTTTATGGAGTTGCTTAACATCTTAAAATAAACGAAAGAAAAAAATCTCCTTGTCATTTATAGCATGCAGCAGGACACATTGTGACAACCCACTCACAGGCAATTCAGCACTAATGCCACTGAGTAGCAGAATCGGTTTAGCAATGTTGCTGTCAAGGTCACCTAGCAATAGATTATGCACTTGACCCCTACCCCTTACGACTATGGCTGATGTAGGCAAGGGAAAGCTCATCCTCTTAGGCACACTTAGTAGGCTTAGGGATACAAATCAACATTAACCTTCTACTTGCTTTTCAACCCAACAGAGTTAAAAGAATAGCAAGTGTATTGGGGTTACTATCATCTTCTCATTTAACAGTCATTAAACCACACAATATGGATTTAAGTCAAAGTGAGGACAAACACATCCTCCATCTCTCCCACACCAGATTAAATCAGTCTCTCATTTTGTGTCCTTCTAAGGATAAATGGCAACTCTCTTTTCTGGTGCCTGAAGTAATTAAGAGAACCACATAGGGCAGAGGAAAAGACGACTACAAATAACTGAACTTCTGAGAATTATTTCTCTTCCTGCATTGACGTTTTCAGATCCTATAAATAACAGCGTTACATCATGCTGACAGGGCCTGCTGTTCCAATACAAGAGGCGGCTTGCCCTTCAGCAGATGCAAAGAAAAGCTGCTACAAACAGCTCTGGTAATGTCAACACACCCTGGAGACGGGAGCTGGGCGCAGGCCCTCTGTGTGGGGCGCGTCTGCACTGGCCCCTGCTCTCCTGGACCACTGCGGGTCTCCCCGCTCTCTTCTCCATCTGATAATGAGTCACCAAAGGGGTCAACGTCCGCTCTTCTGTCCCTGACACCATCACGAACAGCACAAACAGGAGCAGTGCCGACCGCCCACTTATCCCAGGGTGCACTACTGAGAAATAGAGTTTAACAGCTCACGCCTGTAATCCTAGCACTCTGGGAGGCCGAGATGGGTGCATTGCCTGAGCTTAGGAGTTAGAGCCCAGCCTAAGCAAGAGTAAAACTAAAAATAGAAAAACTAGCCAGGCGTTGTGGTGGGCACCTGTAAAACTAGCCAGGCATTGTGGGGGGCACCTGTAGTCCCAGCTACTTGGCAGGCTGAGGCAGGAGGATCGCTTCAGCCCAGGAGTTGAAGGTTGTTATGAGCTGTGATGCCACAGCACTCTACCCAGGGCAACAGAATGAGACTCTATTTCAAAAAAAGAAAAAGAGAAAGAAAAGAAAAAAGAAAACGCATTTTTTTTTTTTTGAGACAGAGTCTCACCCTGTTGCTCAGGCTAGTATTTCGTGGTGTGTAACATGCATGTGTATATGATATATGTGTACACAACACATATTATACACATAAATACGGAAGATAAAGGCATGGCCTCTGGGCTGCTAGGCCTCATACAAACCCCTACTTGTCCTTAGGGAGTCCTACTGTGATAGTTTGAGAGGCAGTTATAGTAAAGCCTCCCACCAGGCTTCCTACACGGCTCCATGCCTTCTCATTTCAGGACTCCCAGCAAAAAGCACAGAGCTTCATTGAATGCATTTACTTCTTACTTCATTTAAATGTATTTAATTCATTTTTTTTTTTT